ACACCTCTCTGCAGCTTCTTCTCAGATCTACCTACTGGAACATCACACCTCTTTCTCATGACGCAGTGTTAGGAAAATAATCTTGGACTTATGCCTACATGACTACACTCTCACAGTCACCCATATAAAATGGTTAACCTGTAAAAGTAAACATTCAACAAAATTTAAAAAAAACCCAACAGTTTAAAATATAAAGTAGATGAAATGCTGCTTAGTTTGGTTTGAGAAACTGATCATTCAAGTTATGTAAAATCCCAACATACCATAAAAACCGAGGCTACTTTCCTCTTCTGAAAATCATAAAAGCCTTTATTAATAGTGCTGCACTTTCAATTGGTTGTGAAGCTCTTTTATTACAGTCTGTAATGTTCACAAGAACAACCTACCTTGGATTCTTTAGAATTTCTTAATAAGAAGAAACATACTGGTGGTGTTGGAAGGTTGCTACTGCCTTTCAAGTCTTCCCATTCAGAGCTGTACACATTAGACATAAGTATATAAGAAAAGATATAGTAAATGGGAGGGGGAAAAAGTACATTAGTGTGCACAGTGCCTAAAGCTCTCTTCACTGAAGGCTCTCTTTGACCACCACTTAGCATGCTGGACCAAACTGCTGTGATTGTTTCTCATGTCAAGCGTGATGCCTACATGCTGATTTATTTTGTTTTAATTTGTTTCATGCAGAAGTACATATGAGACTTTGGTGTTTATTTAATAAAGAATGAATGACATTTGCTGGTTCCATTTTTTGTGACATATTGATTAAACTGAAGACTTTGTGGGTACGAACAACAAATTCATCCATTCTTTGGTGTGAATGCAGTCAATTTTGCCAATTATATTTGAAACTGGACACATGTAAATTACATTTGGCCAATGGACCCGTCTCAATTCAATTGGAGAGATTCAAGAAAATGCCATTGTCTTCAAATTGAAGCAAGCAGCGTGGTTCAATAATCAAATGATTTTAGTTATTGAAATATGCAGTTATGGTGATACTGTACATAATTGTCTGCTGAAAATACTAAAATTCTAAGGTTGTCAGTGAATACATTTTTTTGTGAGATCAGTACATAAAAACCCACTGTTACAGAACAACTGTTATGAAGTGTAGAGAGCTTAGTTAGATAAGGCTTGTATATCTTTCTATTCAACTTGCTTTACTTGATCAATGACAAAAACAGTGTCAATATTTTAACATTAAAGTAAGGTTAGGTTTTCTTTAAATATGAAATTATGTTGTTAAAGTGAAATGGCAGTAGCAAAACCCACACTTTCTATGCAGAGACACATTTCATATTACTGGCCCTAGGGGGCAGGCAGCAAAAGAAGAGCAAACACTGGAATCAAAAGAGAAGACATGCAGGCTATGAATCAGAAACAGTAGTCACCTTCAAACTTTTAGCTTTACAGCTCACCATCTCTCTACGCACAAAAACAAGCGAGGTTACATCCTGGAACAGCATGGGTATCAACAAACAAATGTTTAACCAGCTGTTAAGCTCTGTGGTTGTAAATATACACCCTGCTGAGTTCTTGTGGAAAGATTATTTCTCCACAGGGATCTTTGTGTCTGTTCTCACAAAATGGCTTACCATCAACCATAATAGTTTACCATGAAAACATAAGTTACACAGGATCTAAATGCATAAAATGTACTTCACTCAGAGTGGCATCCAGGGCTGGACCGGTAATCTGGCATTCCAGGCAAATTCCGGATGCACCTTTGTGTTCTGTCGATTTATGCTACCTACGGAGATGTGCTACTTAGCGGTTCTGCTCATGCGTATGACCCACAACAACAACAACAACAAAAATCAGAATACGCTACCCCTGATATCTTAAATAAAGATGGCATAATATAGTATTTCAACATGTTCCACATGTCCTTACAGTACACATGGAGTGAATGGTGCAATATAAAATGATACTGTAGTGGGAGTATTATTTGATAGGAGTCTATCAGAATACGCTGCCCCTGAAATGATTTTATAATATAATCAAAAAACAGAAGATGTCATAATACTGTGAGAATTATAACTTTATGGGATTGGAAAAGGGAACACATAAGGTAGCATTTTTCAATAGGGCAGAGCAACTTGATAGATGCAATTTAAGCTACGGTAGCATTTTTCGACAAGGCAGCATATATTGTCAGAATACCGGTGTAACGTAAATTATGTATTTATTTAACTGTTTTTAAAAAATGGGCCAACGATTGGCCCATAAATCATAGACAGCGGCCCATTGGGTAATTTTCTATACTGACACTGGCCCGGCCCAATCACATCTCTTACTAGCCCCCACCCCCTCTGCTCTCTGTTTCTTGCGCTGAAATGAAAACCCTAAAATCAGTATCTCAGAAAATTAGAATATTGTGAAAAGGTTCAATATTGAAGACACCTGGTGCCACACTCTAATCAGCTAATTAACTCAAAACACCTGCAAAGGCCTTTAAATGGTCTCTCTAGGTCTAGTTCTGTAGGCTACACAATCATGGGGAAGACTGCTGACTTGACAGCTGTCCAAAAGACGACCATTGACACCTTGCACAAGGAGGGCAAGATGCAAAAGGTCATTGCTAAAGAGGCTTGCTGTTCACAGAGCTCTGTGTCCAAGTACATTAATAGAGAGGCGAAGGGAAGGAAAAGATGTGGTAGAAAAAAGTGTAAAAGCAATAGGGATAACCGCACCCTGGAGAGGATTGTGAAACAAAACCCATTCAAAAATGTGGGGGAGATTCACAAAGATAGGACTGCAGCTGGAGACAGTGCTTCAAGAACCACCACGCACAGACATATGCAAGACATGGCTTTCAGCTGTCGCATTCCTTGTGAACAAGACACAGTGTCAGAAGCATCTCGTCTGGGCTAAAGACAAAAAGGACTGGACTGCTGCTGAGTGGTCCAAAGTTGTGTTCTCTGATGAAAGTCAATTTTGCATTTCCTTTGGAAATCAAGGTCTCAGAGTCTGGAGGAAGAGAGGAGAGGCACAGAATCCACGTTGCTTGAAGTCCAGTGTAAAGTTTCCACAGTCGCTGATGGTTTGGGGTGCCATGTCATCTGCTGGTGTTGGTCCACTGTGTTTTCTGGAGGTCCAAGGTCAACACAGCCGTCCACCAGGAACCTACCAGTACCTGGTTTAAGGACCATGATATCCCTGTTCTTAATTGGCCAGCAAACTCGCCTGACCTTAACACTATAGAAAATCTATGGGGTATTGTGAAGAGGAAGATGCGATATGCCAGACCCAACAATGCAGAAGAGCTGAAGGCCACTATCGGAGCAACCTGAGCAGTGCCACAGACTGATTGACTCCATGCCACGCCGCATTGCTGCAGTAATTCAGGCAAAAGGAGCCCCAACTAAGTACTGAGTGCTGTACATGCTCATACTTTTCATGTTCATACTTTTCAGTTGGCCAACATTTCAAAAAATCCTTCTTAATAATATTCTAATTTTCGGAGATACTGAATTTGGGATTTTCATTAGTTGTCAGTTTTAATCATCACAATTAAATGAAATAAACATTTGAAATATATCAGTCTACGTGTAGTGAATGAATATGACTGGCCAGTGCCAGTCTATGGTGATAGCCAGTGACAAAGTGACAGGGCAGAGGGAGAGAGAGCAGGAGGAGAGTGGAGGTGAAGCGTTAAGCATGGAGTAGCTCAACCTGTAGGGAGGGAGCAGGAAGGGAGGGTAATTTACCCTGGGGACGCAGGGGACATGTAGGCTACCACTTTATGAAAGCATATGTAAAATTGTTCTGAAAAATAGCTTGCACTGCGAAATGTTAATTAGCAAATAAAAATGCTATGAAAAAGGTTTATTTGCACAGTAAGCGTGCAATGCAATGTAAATACAGAAGAAAACTGTGTTGAAAAAGAACTGAACAGGTTGATCCCAACAAACAAAAAAATCTTGCAGTAATGGCTTTTAGAAAGCAGCTGGTGATTTATTGTGTTAGATAATGACACGTTTGTAGCGTTTTCAAGCTATTTGCCCACTCTGGCAAACAATTAACTCCTCCAATACCAGCTAAGTAGAAAAGTAGCTGGAATTTAATATGTTGCTGCATATTGAGTAGACTTGCTTCTTTCACAGGATTCTCAATTTTGGGTGTGATGCAACACATACTGGTCCCATATCCCCTTCACCACCCTCAGGCAAGTTGTGCAGACTTTGTGGATCGCAAAGCTCCATTGTGTCTATGTGAGAAGACAATATAAATGATTCCCTCTGTGGTTTTTAAGAGGCAGTGATAAGCCTGTGTACTATTTACACCATGTGCACTTTTCCTCCAGTGATGCTCTCTGGCTGTAAAGTTGCCCCAACTTTGTTAACTTGTCACAGAGTTTTTATTGCTGGCATTTCTAACTATGAGCAATCCAATGAAACAGCTTCCGTATTTTCCCAAATGGGGCAGTAATGTTTTGTTATTTGTTACTATTGGACTTTTTCAAATGTTCTTTTACTGGAACTAACTCAGGACCTTAATGAATAAATGATTGATTGCCACAATTTGACATTATTTTTATATAGATGTGGCCTACTCATTGCTAGACAGGAAAATCACAGGTTTACTGCATGAGTTGCAACCTGGTGGCCATGACCAGTTAGCCAAAAGTACTATAGTAGTTAGCAGAGCGCCAGACAGGTTGCTACTAACACAAGAATATTTATCTCCTTTGTTAAGACAAAGTAATTCCTACTTGTTTCAGACTTAAAGCACTGTAAAGCAAAACAGAGTTGTTTAAAATTAAACCCCCTCTGTAGGAGTCTTACCTCTTGCTTAATGGCCTGAGAATTGACATAATAATCAACCATGATGTAAACAGCCTCACCGTAGCAATACAAGCTGGGCCTCCCTGTGCCATAAATTGCTTGATGATTAGGTTGCGGTAAACTCAACCTAATCTTCCAGTAGCCCAGGCTAACAAGGTGATAATACGACCTTATAGCAGTGAGGAAACTTGGGATGGAGGAGCTTCAAAGTGGGCCACCCCTCGAGAACTTTTCTGCCAATGTATAAAGACCTACTTCTGTGCTCTTCTCAT